ATATATATATATATATATATATATATATATATATATATATATATATATATATATATATGTGTGTGTGTATATATACATATATACATACATATATATATATATATATATATAATTATATATATATATATATATATATATATATATATATATATATATATGTATACATATATACGTTTGTATCAGCAATATGGCTATTTTTAAACAGCGTACTTTGAGTCATTTCATTTTTTTATATCCGAATATTACTACCTCGCTGGCATTATGCAACTACAAATGTTACATCTTCGCTTTTTTTGCTTCAATATTTTCAATGCTCTAAATATTAGATAGATATTTTTATTCGCCATTTTAATTGATTTAATTATTATTATGTTATTAATTAATTATCTATATCAGGGGTGGGCAAACTTTTTGCTGTGAGTGCCTCATTGAGAACTCTTTTACCTTTGAAGGGCCGCATATGTACTTAAATAGCAAATTTTTTTACCTGGGGAATACTTTTTTTTAGATTTGTGACCCCTTTTATTGGTCATAATGTCTGGCTGACGACCTTTTCTTGGCGAGCAAGACCTCGCGGGCCGCATAAAATAGCTTCACGGGCCGTAGTTTGGCCAGCCCTGATCTATATCATAATCATTTTTGTCATCCTGTATATATTGTAACCATGATGTTAGCTTGAATGCTAAACCAATTTTTAAAGTTAATATTAAATTTTTTCAAGTTTTAATGTTCAACCGCGACAGTTAAGTTTATAGAGAACATCTCATATTAGCATTACCAAAGCAGATCGCTTAAAATTTTTATTATTTTCATTAATATAATGAATAAATTGAACAATCTCGCAATCATTAAACAATTTTACAACCATTAAACAATCTTGGAACCATCAAATAGTCTTACAATTTAACAAATTTTCATTTTCTTCGTAAGATGGCGAGATAGAATTTCAAAAAGTTTTGAATTTGAAAGGGTTCTGCTGTCCGGAGCATATGCAAGATGTGAATGGAAACTATAAAAGTTACATCCAACTGGGAGGTCGTTCTTTCTATTACAGTTTTAAAAGATACTACTACACTGCAACTAAACTACTACTATTACTCTACTACTACTGCTGCTACCGCTGTTACCGCTATTACTACTACTGCTGCTGCTGCTGCTTCTATTACTACTAGCACCTCATTTCTGTCATTTTCAAATTGTGTTCTGTCTTGTAACGTATTCAAAGACAACCACAATTTATACGTCACACACTCATTTTCTGACGCTGTTTTATTTAGTTAAACCCGATACAATTACCAGACTCGAGACATATGGTTCGTTTGCTGACCTACTTACCCGGAACCGTATTGGGTGGAATAATTAGGTCACCGGATGTGTTGGTGGCCATTGGAAAATATGTTGCCGATGTGCACAACGCCACGAAGGTTGCCTTTTTTGGGAATTTAAATTAATTTATTCATTTATTCAAATTTGAATGAATTAATTTGTTTATTAATTCTATGTATAGTATTGCAAGTTTGTCTGTCATGCTTACAATTATAATATTGATCAAAATAAAGAAAACTTGATATTTGATCATTCTCTAAAGATAAAGATGCATTAAACTTTTGCCAACAAATTATTCCAATATGTTTGTAATTATCCATAATTATTGTTATCCCTGCAAGCTATATGATGTACGTACACTACGTTCAGTTCATACATTTATATAATTTCTCAAAAAAACCCTACATATTGAGAACGTTTCATGAATCACAGGATTTCAGACATCCGTGTCTAAGAGACAATCCAGAGTACATATGGAGTCTCGAGAACGTTCCAAAGTTGCACATGTACCTGGATTACATTTCTGACGATGGTGGGAAAGATCTGGTGAGGGAGGCCATCAAACTTTTTGAGAAGAACGTCATTCCGAACATGAATCTGTTTGAGCATGGTTCGTCCGTGTGACTGTGTTCCTAGCGGTGGGGATCATGATTGTATCGAGAGCGTTGTTACGACGAAATAAGTTTAAAAGACATACACACGCACGCACACACACACGCAACACACACACGCAGGCACACACACGTCTACATACACGCACGCACACACACACACACACACAGGAACCATTCACGGGGACATAAACGAAGGAAACCTTATCGTGCTAGCCAACTCTGTGACCAAACAAGTTACTATATATACATTGTTTTATAGATTTGTTTGTATAAAATAAAGCGTTTATATTTTATTGTATATATTTGGTTATTGTATAAATATTATATCATTATATTAATATATTATTTTTACTATTTTATGTGATTAGGTTTTTTTCCTATAGTTCGTTTACATGTTAACATTTTTTAAGAGTATCTATATTTAAACATTTTCATATATTCTATATTCATTTAATTATTTGCCCTCTTAGACACACCCCTCAACCAATCAAAATCAGGGCATTCAAATAAACAGGGAGACGATGGGCTTGATAGACTTCAACGAGTCCAACATATCATGTCTGATCTTTGACCTTACGTGTGCGGTGACCTACATGATGATCGAAAATAAGGGCGTCTTGGAAGATTTCGTCGACGCAGGTGGCTATGTGATTGGTGGGTACCTCAAGAACCGTCCAATCAGCGAGCTAGAAATTAGGTCAAGGGTTAATTATGTTAATTTATAATTATTGATCATATATTTGTGAATATAAACGCTTATACGTTGTTATCAGAAAAGTGTAAAAATAGATGTAGAACAGTGAAAATGTTATGATTGAGTTATATATAGTTTGTTATATTTCACACTGCAAACCTTTTGAAACGTTCATAAAATTAACTTTCAACCTTTACTGTTTAAATGCCAGCAGTCACTGTTAATAATTTTGCTAAGTGAAAAATTTATTTTCTAATGAAAATGTAAATGTCACACGCGCCATTTATAAATAGGACAGTTTAATACGATAAACAGACATACACACAGAGAAACGGACAGACAGACGGACGGACACACAGACACACACACACATAAATGTAAATTAATAATAATGTTATTTTCCAACGAACCACCAAAACCCAACAGCCTTCTTCCGTACTGCGTGCTAGGTCGGTACGCGCAAACACTCTCCATAAGCACCTACACTCAAACACTTGATCCCAAAAATCAGCACATCTTCACAACGTCACATTCCGGCTGGGAGCAGTTAGAGATATTGATAAAGAAAGGGGCTGATGAGATATTGAGAAGATGGAGAGAGATTGCCAGCAGTACTACGTGATGATGCTCCATTAAATGGACATATACTTCTTATAAAGACTTCATTTTTTGCATTAATTAATTAATTAATTTATCAATATATTATTAGCTTACTGTTTTTTTTTTAAATATCTCAAATTAAATGGTAAAATAATTTATTTTATTATTTAAATTCAGTGAATTAATCAGGACTATTTGTCATTTAAGGCGAAAGTTTCGAAAAATAATTCATCTTAACTATTCTTAAAACATGAAAAATATTTTTATTCTGGTTTTCCAAAAAATACAAAATGTAAAAATATGAACTTTTCATGGCTTGGGTAATTCATGTCTACGCATTTTGACACATATTTGAACGTTCAAATTCACTTTGAGTAACAGCACTTTCATCATTAAAGCAAAATCTTAATCTGTGAAAAATTTGACCAGTAGATGATTGTGATTTTTTTATATGTAAATATTGATTTTAAAATTCTGTTACATAAAATTTATACAGATAATGAAATAAAATCAATTAATGTACTAAGTTATTATATTGTATTAGTTTGATAAATTCAATAACAACAGATCTCTCTTTTTTTACAATTCATATCAGAACGTCTTCTACGCGGTAAGTGACGTTCAATTGGAAATACTCAATCGTCATTTAGTTTAATAATTTCTCTCCTCACTGCCTCATAACAAATTCTGATGAATCGCCGATAACTTTGTACTCTCCGTTCATTCAATCGATTTTCTGCCCACACATCCACACTATTTTTTCATGTTGCTACGACAAAAACCTGGCTAATTATAAATCAATTTTTACTAGGTTGTTACTAAAGTGTTTGTCTATCAACCATCAAATGCCATGGCTAAGGTTTTGTATACACGTAGTATCCGTAGTATCACATAGAACTCTCAAGAGTATGATCGCTGGATTGCTTCTGAACTTTGCGGAGTTTGAACCCGGAATGTGATAGGACGCATCAGATAGTTTCTTAGCAGTTAACTAACCAACAAAATCTTCTCATTTAGTTAGGCCCTGACTATCATTTCCACATCGTTCGACGTTCCGACAGTAGAGATTTGCAATCAATCATGTGTAAATATTTGCTTGCACATCTTTATATACATACCACATCTACCCATGTTCAAACGAAACAACTGCATCGCATATTTATTATATCAAACTTTTCTGATTTTACATAAAGTAATTCATTCAAAACAATTTTTTATAAATCAATAACAACATAGCTTGTTGTCATTTATATGAAGCGACATACATTTGCATTCACCAAAATTAGGATACTGCTTTCGTAATGAAATCTTTCCATTCAGTCTAGCGAACAGACTGACAGATGGGCAGAGAGACGAGACAAACAGACCGATGGCCAAAGATAACGAGTGTGCAAGCAGACAATAAAAAATGTTGTGAGTAGAAACAGACAGTTGGTGAGACGGGCAGACGTTGAATGTCTGGTCTGCAGAGAGCAGCAGACGACGTGAAAGCGATAACAGGTGGATGACTGGTCCATGTTTGCAGAAGCGTGGAAGTGAGGAATGAATGAGTGAGTGAGTGAGGCATTTCTTTATCGTTCAACTACTTTCACTTCTTTCTACGAATGTGCCCATACAAATTCATTCATTGCACGGTTACATAAAAACATACACACATACACCAGCATGTACGTACATACAGACCGACAAATAAACATACAAATGTTGCACAGACGTAAGTATATTTCACTGACACTTGTGCCTTGGAGCCCATGTTTCAGACGCACCAAAACAAACACGTACACACGCACAGATATGTACACGCATATGTACGCATATAAACGCAAAAACACAAAAACATCAACACAATGCAACAAATGTGTACACTCGAAAATATTTTTGAACAGAAAAATTTTCAGGATGCTCATTCAAATCAAACAAAACCATGAATTAAAAATCCACACTATCTCCAATAACATGTACATCGCTCGATCAAATATCAACGAAGGAACACACACCCACGAACAAATACATAAAAAATAACACAGAAACACGCACATGCACATAGAAACACGGAAATGCACGTGCAACATTACAAACGCAGACATTTTTACGCACACGAAGTAAGAAACGCACTGACTGCCAGCTTTCTTTGCTTAGCTGCTTCAAGGTTGAATTCAAAAATTAATAATAAAAATGTGCTCAGACAAGAATATGCTCTCTGTACGTTGTGGTATGCACGCTCCTGTACATATGGGTCTGGTCTAGATGTTTAAGCGTATCTGCACGTATGTGTACGCGTGTATACGCTTGTATCAGGCTGTTCGTTCGTATATCCGGTGGCGCAATTAAATGCGTTCGTTTGAATGGCGAACTATGCATGTTGCAGTACGTTCTCTGTACGGTGCTCTTCATAAGCAAGTAAGATTTACACTCTGCGTGGTACTGAAATTATTCAGACGTGTATGCTTATATTCGGGAAAATGTGTGCCTGTATGTGTCTGTCTGCGTCTGTATGTGTCGGTCTGCGTCTGTATGTGTCGGTCTGTGTCTATGTACATGCATGTGCGCGCGTTTTAG